TGTGATGTTTTTTTTAATTAAGAGTTCTGACAATTTTTTGGAATTTCTAAGTACTTTTTCTAATCTTGTTTTATAGTTTGTAGATTTCATTACATTTCTTATTAGTTCATAATATAGATTTCAAAACAGAAAATGCTTTTTATAATAAATCTACAATTTTCTCTAATATGGTTTTGCCTACTTTTTCTTCTTTGCCCTTACGGAGGCAACAATTCTAAGATACATGAATTGTCCAATAATTTTATAAAATACGTAATTGAGTGCGGGGAAACTTATCAAATAATTCAAATTATCGACCGTAATTCAAAAAATGATAATTTTCTTGAATTCATATCAGAAGTGGAAAAGAATTTTCCCTCTTATCTTATTGATGAAAAAACAATTTTGAAACAGAATAATAATGTCATACCACCTTTATATGAAACTCAATCTTCTATTTTCATCATATTCGCTTTAGATTTGACTCCAAATTTTGCTAAACTATCAGGAACAATAAAATTTATTGAAGATCTTTGTCAATCAAGTGCACGTTCAAAAATTTTGATTATTCATCAGATTAATGAAAACAACAGCAAATCAAATACATTGAATGATGATAATATAAATAATAGAGCAAAAAAATCAATTAACAATGTCAACAGTATTGTTAATAATCGCAACTCTAATGATCTTTACGATACAAAGTACAACCAACATAACGTCAATCAAAAATATCTTCAATTTTTTAAAAACATGTGGTTAGAACAATTTTTAGACGTCACAGTTCTAGAAATTTTTTCTAAAAATACTATAAACTCTTTATTAACTTTATCCAATAGTGATACGATCATCATTCACTATTACAATCCCTTCACTAAAAAATATTTTTGTAATAAAATCACCAACTCCTGTAATTTACTTAAAAATATCACCAATTCCCGAGAAGATAACACAAATAACTTTGATTTCAAATTCATGAGCAGCTGCAAATTCTTTCCCGATAAACTCAACAATCTAGATAATTATCCAATAAACATTGGTGTCTTTCATTATCCGCCTTATGTTATTGTCAATCGTGATTCATCAGGACAAATTAATTCTGTCACTGGACCGGACATGAAAGCATTGCAAATCATCTCGGAGGTAATGTCTTTCTCTATTCAATACAAGTTTTCAAATCAAACTAATTGGGACAAAATCAGCTGTGTGAAAAAAGACAATATTGGTATCACTAATCTGACTATGAACAATAAGGTGCAAGTCATTGCCCTTGAAGGTATCAACTATAGCAGTTGTTTAGGAAAATTTACAGTGACCGGAAGGGGAATACGACTCTTTAGGTATATTCACTTGGTTCCCATTCTCCCGGGTACTTCCACATCAGTGTCAGGCGGATCGAAAATTTTAAATTTTATCAGTGTCATTATTCTCCTTCTGTTGCCATGGTTCATTGCAAAATTGTTTCATTTTGATTTTGAAAATTGGGAGATCATAAATATCCTACAGATGATTCTGGGCTTGCCAGCACCTCGAGAGCCAGCATCCAATGTCGAGAGAATCATTTTTGCATCTATGCTCATCGCCTGTTTTCTAGCATCCAGCTTTATATTTTCGGCTATCTCTAGTTCTCAATTGCAAAAGGAATCTTTTTTGAAGTTAGATACATTTAGTGATTTACTGAAAACATCTTTAAAACCAATGGTTGCAGTCAATCTTTTGAAACCGGTGACCATCTTGACTGATGATTTTGACAAGCTTATCAATAGAACACTTCCCTACGATGGACCTCCAACTGATTGTAGCAGGCTTCTCAAGAGGGACAAAAATATTTCCTGTATTATGAGGGAAACACAAGCTCAATTAATTGTATTCAATGATAAGGATCAGAGTGGTCGTTCGAGTATGAAGATTTTGAATAAAGAAATTATGTGGTTGTATTCGAGTACCATGATCCTAGCGAGTGGATCACCTTTCAGGGATAGATTTGATCAAATTATTCTTCGAATAGTTCAATCGGGCCTTGGCAAAAAATGGGATGATGATCAATTTCAAAGGAATGATCGTGGGCCTAGTCAATTGGATTTATTCCGCTTGGAAAGTACTCAAACGACGAGTATTATGAGACAATTGATACAGATATTCATTTTTGGATGGATTTGTTCTATGTTTGTCTTCTTGGTTGAGAACATTATACATCTGTGTCTGTTCAAGGGTCAGGAAAATAAAAACTGTTTAAAAGTAAGTTTTTTTAAAAGTTTATTAATCGTTTTGAATGTAGCAATTATATTCGTTCTTTATTTATGTATAACAGTTGTAACGATTTTTTGAGTATGGTTTGTAACAACACTTCACGAAGAACGCCTCACAGAAATGCATTTTCTGGGAAATCCATATTAATGTGGACTAATACAAGATTTTTCATATAAAGATTTCAGATTATATTTATATTATATTTCTGTACTAATCCACATTGATATGTTCGGGTTTAATCTGGAATCAGTCTAAAATTTTAGCCAAGGATTAGATTATTAAATTATTTCACTGTATACCGTGGAAAACATATAATATTTTCAGTTTTTTATTTTTTTCCCTTTAACCCTTGGAGCACAACGGGTAGGGTTGTAAAGATTCATGAAATTTTCGTTGAATGAAAGTTTCATGAAAGTTTCACTACTTCATGAAACGTTTCAAAGTTTCAAAGAAAGAGGCGGGAATATTTATATTGTATATAATAAAATCAAATATAGTAAAAAAAACTAAATATAGAATATATACATAAATAAAAAATACAAATAAATAAATATACTATATATATATATATATTTATATATAAATATATATATATGGGACGTTTCACGTCAACCGGCCCAGAGCTCCATCCAAAATTCTAATCAACGAAAATCAACTTATTACGGCTCAAAATAATCGTCAGCTCATACTGCTTCGAATAAAAAGTGTCGAAATAAAAAATTCAAAATGGCGTCCTTACTGTACCATGTTTTGCAAATTTTTTTACTAACTCAGCAAACAAGTGTATTAATTACCTTGAGAAAATATTTGCAACTTGTTGGATAATGGGTCACTCTTATGTTTTTGGGGTCGCTTATTACGAATCTGAAGTCAGATTTTAAAAATTTTCAAAATTCAAGATGGCGGATCCAATATGGCGGACATTTTTATTAAAGTTTGACCAGATTCGCTTGAAACTTGCTACTCGGGGGTTTTTGGGGTCGCTGATTACGAATATAAAGTCAGATTTTAAAAATTCAAAATGGCGGATCGAATATGGCGACCAAAATTTTTTTAAAAATTATCAGATTTGCTTGAAACTTGTTACTCGGGGATTTTTGGGGTCGATGATCACGAATCTTACGTCAACTTTTAAAAATCTGGTCACAGATCACGATTCTGATGTAAATGTTGTTAAAAATTCAAAATGGTTGAGCCAATATGGCGGATGAAATTGTAAAATTTGTTTGTATTTATAAACTTAAATGTAATGAGGCTGATTTTTGAGGTTAAGGTTTTTAGAGTTAAGGACAGTTTTTGAAATTCAATTTGAGAATATTTGAAAGTTTCAGTTGTGCTTAAATTGTAAAAAAATGATATAGAGGAAATTTTTATAAAGGAAAGGAAAAATTTTAAAACAGTAATTTAAATATTTAAAGGACGAGGTTCTTGGAGTTAAGGGTAGATTTTTCAAAATTTAATTTAAGGCTATTTAAAAGCCTCAAATTAGCTAAAATTATAAAAGATTTATGTAGAATAAATTTTAAAAAATATAAAATTTCTATATTAAGGGGTAGTTTTGGGGATTAAGGGTAGTATTTTGAAAAATTACTTTTATGATATTTAAGATCCTTTAAATGAAGCCTAAATTTGTATGAAAGAAAAATTTAAAACAACTAATTGAATAATGTGAAAAGGGTGGTTTATGGAGTTAAGGGTGGCGAATTCATCCAATTTTTAAATACTTTATTAGACATTTTGGAACCACCAATCTTATTTTATAAAATCTAGACTCAAATTCGTAATCACCGACCCCAAAAATCCCCGAGTAACAAGTTTCAAGCAAATCTGATAATTTTTAAAAAATTTTTGGTCGCCATATTGGATCCACCATTTTGAATTTTGAACATTTTTAAAATCTGACTTTAGATTCGTAATGAGCGACTCCAAAAACCCCCGAGTAACAAGTTTCAAGCAAATCTGATTATTTTTAAAAAAATTTGGTCGACATATTGGATCCGCCATGTTGAATTTTGAAAATTTTTTAAATATGACTTTAGATTCGTAATCAGCGACACCAAAAACCCCCAAGTAACATGTTTCAAGCATATCTGATAATTTTTAAAAAATTTTGGTCGTCATATTGGATCCGCCATTTTGAATTTTTAAAATCTGACTTTATATTCGTAATCAGCGACCCCAAAAACCCCCGAGTAGCAAGTTTCAAGCGAATCTGGTCAAATTTTAATAAAAATGTCCGCTATATTGGATCCGCCATCTTTAATTTTGAAAATTTTTAAAATCTGACTTCAGATTCGTAATAAGCGACCCCAAAAACATAAGAGTGACCCATTATCCAACAAGTTGCAATTATTTTCTCAAGGTAATTAATACACTTGTTTGCTGAGTTAGTAAAAAAATTTGCAAAACATGGTACAGTAAGGACGCCATTTTGAATTTTTTAATTCGCCACTTTTTATTCGTAGCAGTATGAGCTGACGATTATTTTGAGCCGTAATAAGTTGATTTTCGTTGATTAGAATTTTAGATGGAGCTCTGGGCCGGTTGACGTGAAACGTCCCATATATATATATATATATAAATAAATAAATATATAACCAGACCAAATATAATAAATCTTTATTTATAATAATAATTTTTATTACAAAGAAATTACAGCTTAAAGAATTTTAGCTTAGTATTCATTAAATAAAAAATTTAGTTCTTTAAATAAAATATTTAATTTAAAACAAGTTCTGAATTAAATGTTGAAAACTAAACAACAAAAAAAGCATTTTAGTTTAGTAACAAAAACAGTTGTAAAACATTTTAGTATGCCTAAGTTAACATTTTAATGTTACTCTTCTTCCAACTCATCGATCTGCTCCACGAATTGAGCTTCCATTTCGCTATCGGACAGCTCTATTTCAACTAACTCTTCTTCTTGATAATTTGGAAGAACTCTTGAAGGCTTATTTTTAGGATTTAAAAACTGTAAAGATAGTAAAATTAAATTATTATTGCAGGTACAAAATAATAATAAAATAAAATTATTAAGATTTTTTGAATTTTTATACTAATTAAAACAAAGATAATTACCAGCATATTTTGTTTAATATATGTAATTTTTCCTGCTTTTTCAGTTGAGAGATGATTTGTAGTCTTATTATGTACGTTTTTGTAAGTACTATTTGTACGTTCACAAGCTGCAGACGTGGGCTGTAAACTTAAAACTTTTAATGCTATTTTTCTGAGCGATTTTCCAACGTAGCAAGATTTCCACCACATATATGGAGACATTTTATTAATAGTCAGATTTAAGGAATCTTTCTGCCAGATTCCTTCTTTTAATCTGAACATATTGCAGTCTGTCAGCACATCCTCTACAGAAATATCTTCACTTTCCGAATAAAATTCTGAAAGTCTTGTCAAACATTCGAAAGCTTCCAGTAGTTCCTGGTCTATAAGATCTTCACCACGTTTTGAGGGATCTAACAAATTCGCTAAATAATGAATTGGCTTTATGCAAAATTCGTACCTATCTTCTAAAATTTCATTGGTTTTAGCGTAATAATTCATTAAGAGATTTGAATTTCTCATCCCCTGAACACGCCTTCTTATATCCGAGGAGACTGTACATGATAAACTCATTTTCGAATCATCGCTTTCGATAATGTGAAGCCAGGAAATTATCGGTTTTAAAAGCGTAACGCATTCACTTAAAACATCCCACAAATTAGTATTTAGAATCAAGTGTTTTAAATTTCCACTTAAAATGGTTTCAACTCTGTGATCTACGCAGAGCTCATGAAGTGCAGACCTGTTTATTCGAACACTGTTCATACAAAAAAATACACTGCCGAACCTTGTCTTTCCTGGTAGTTGCAGTGAAGATTGTTGAATAGTAGATCCTAAATAATTATATTAAATATTATTAGTATGTGTAAATATAAATTATAAAAAAAATTTAAGAATATATTAGTTAAGCGATCAATATAAATATTATAATGAATATAAATTTATTTAACAATTAAAAATAAAAATTTAATTGCACATATATTACCTGATCTTTTTGACGCTACTTTAACCTGCTGTTGTTTTTCGTTAAAAACTGCTAAAAAAATTTGACTTTTTATTTCTCTGGCAATATTTGTGCAATGATTTTTTACTTCATCAAAGACAGCTTGAGACCAAATATCTTTGAAAAAAAGATGTAATCCGTGTAGTAGACACCCGTAAGGCGTAATGTGTGGATATCTTTCTTGTACGATTTTCCAAGCTAACTTCATATTGGCAGCATTATCTGTTACTAATCCCGTAATTTTTATAGGGCCAACTTCTTCAATTATTGAAAACATAATGTCTGCAATATTGTCTCCCGTATGGTGGTCAGCCCCAGTAGGGATTGTTTTGTAAAAAAAGGGTTCCGGTGTGTTTAAAATTACATTGATAATTCCTTGTCTTCTAATATTGGACCAGCCATCCATTTGAATTGCCAAAGACAAGGAAGCTGCAATTTTTTCTTCTATAGTATTTTGAATACGGGAAAACTCTGAGTCTAATAAACTATTAGACAGATCATAACGAGATGGGAGTGTAAAAGATGGTTTCAATTTATTAAAGAACTGAATCCAAAATGTGTTTTCCACAATCGAGAGAGGAGTGCTGGAACAATAAACTGCTCTGGCCATCAAAGTGACCAGTTCTTTCTAAACAGACAGAAATTAATTTATTTTTACAATTTTATTTGCGACAAATCAAAACTTTATGTAATTAAATTAGTTAATAAATATTTTACTTTAAATATCTAATAGTTCTACAAAAATATTAACAATAATATTTATTTTGACTATTTCAAAACAGAACTAAGACAAATTTTCGAAATTGTAATTAAGTAGGACAAATTTAAAAACAAAATTTTAAAATTCTATTTACAAATTTTATTAAACTCTGATTTAAGCAAATAATTCGAATTTAAATTTTTCACATAGTTTTTATTCACCTAACCTGAACTGATATATGACGTAATTGCGCATGTACGCATGAAGGCTTCCTATTGGTCCTCCAATGTTTCATGAAACTAATGAAATTTTCGTGCATGAAAGATTGAAACTTTCAAATGAAAGTTTCAATCTTTCAATGAAACGTTTCACGACTCACAACCCTAACAACGGGGTTCTGTGAGACCCCAACCTCAACTTTGGCTTAGTATACAAGAAAAAATTTTGGGTGAATGAATGTTCGAATGAGACAGGAGTAACTTCGCTTGAGTCCTATAGAGAACGGTGACGTATAATATGAGGGCAATGAAGATGGCGTACTTGGCAAGTAGTCGGTGCAGTAGACTAAAATTGGGCTTCTGCGCATATTAGTACATTTATAGGTTTACATGTATTTAGTATTCTTGGCGCACAGGGGTTTTCGCTGGCTGATAAATAAAACATATAATTTTACATAAACAATTAATCGAATGATATTTTTGACAATCTTTCAAGTTATCTTCCGACACTGATTGCATTTTATTAAATTTATTATCAGCCTCTAAAATACAAACAAAATTTTACTATTATTATAATGACTAGTACAAATAATATCTTTAATGATACTCAGGTAAAATTTTGTACATTTCCAATTTTTATATAATTTTAAAAGTTAAATCATCCTCATTTTCGTTTATTGTCGGTACTATTTACCTCCCTCTGGATATTGATTTTAATGTTTTTTCAGTTAATTTCGAAGTTATTCTTAACTCGATTCGATGTGATTTTTTAGACCTTCCGATTTTAATTGGAGGTGATTTTAACTGTCGAATTTCTAATCTTAACAATTTTGATCAACAAATTTTTACAAATAATACTTTATTCTCCCCGTTCAGATCCTCTCTGGATACGATTGTTTCTAATAAAAGTAAGAAACTTGTAGAAATAATGGAAAGCTACGAATTTTTTGTATGTAACGGTCGCAGTCTCAGTGATTCGCCTGCTCAGTTTACTTTTCATGGAGCTAGGGGAAAAAGTGTGGTTGATCTTCTGTGGTGTTCGTTTAATTGTTTGCGATTGTTGCATGATTTTTATGTTTGTAAATTAGAAACAATTTCCGATCACCTTCCTATTGCTATCTCCATTTCTCAAAATTTTCCGTCAACGTACGCTCCGTACGCTCTTGTCCAACTTTCAGATTTATTTTTGATGTAGAAAAATTAGAATCTTTTGATCATTGTATGAGATCGAAGAGAAGAAGTTTCTGAATTGGAAGGACACGTCAATTCACTGAATGATATTCTAATATCAACAATTAAATCCGTAGCTACAGAACTAGGTATGCGCAAAATGCTCCCTAAGGATAATACCTTAGCATCTTTTTTTAAAAACAAACCTTGGTTTGACAACTCATGTAAACTAGCGAAGCGTGCAATGTATGTTGCATACAATGATTGTAAAACCAATTACTTTCAATCAGATTATTTTACTTTATGCAAGTGTTTAGAATGGACGTACAAAAAAATTCTGAAAAATAAGAAGCGCGAATATGAGACGAGTCTGATTAATGAGTTGACTGAGGCCAGGGGCTCAGCAAGCTTTTGGGCGGTTATTAAGAAAACTCGCTTTACCCCTCGAGAACCTTCACCCATTAGCATGGATCAAAAAAACTCGAAGCCTTGCGACTTTATTGTGAAAAGAATTGCCTTACTATAAATGCTGATAAAACAAAAATTGTAATCTTTCATCGTGGTGGCAATTCTTCATATAAAAAATTTATTTCATTTAAATGTGGAGATATGAAAATCGAGGTTACTAAGAGCTATCTGTACTTAGAGTAATTTTTTCGAACTCTTGTTCTTTTAAAGAAGCGGCAGATAATTTCGAGAGCTCAGCCAACTCTGCGATAGGTGCGACTATGAATGTAATTTACCAATCCGGAGCCGACTCATGGCAGTCCTACAACAGATTATTTGATAGTTCGGTAATTAGTACAGTTTTGTACGTAGTCCAGATCTGGGGACATCAGCATCTAGAACTACTCGCAAACACATAGCTTAATTTTTTTAAACGATTACTTTTTCTCCCTCAGTCAGTCCCGGGTTACGCGATCCGACTCGAGACGGGCAGACCTCCGCTATCCTTTGTTATTCTCATGAGAACGTTGTCCTGGCTTAATAAAGTTTGTAAAATGGATATTTCTCGGTACCCAAGGCAATGTTTATTTAGATTGGCGGAATTGGCCGTCTCGAGCCGCAGTAGTGGAAAATTTAATTGGTATCTTAATATCAGACATTTTTTGGAAAAGGGGGGTTTGACAGATCGCCTCAGATTTAATGACCTGGAACTGATTGTGGCTAATACAGACCCTATTTTGAGGAATTACGCGAAATTCTTGATGGCTCGTGACTTGAGTTCCAGAGAGAAGTCAAGGAGTTTTCAAATATGGTCTTTTCTTGAACTGAAACCTGGGACTCAGGGTTACTTGCTCTGCAGAATGGAGCTTAATATAAGAAGAATTTTTGCTCAAATACGTCTCTCTAGTATACACAATAATTATATTAGAATTAACAAAATGTTTTTTAATCTGAAGCCTCTAGATAACTGTCTTTTTTGTAATGCTGACAGTTATGATCTCCACTACTTTTTGTCAGATTGTCCCCGTTTCGAAGATACAAGATTGTCCTTTTTCCCTGACCTTCTGTCTAGGGATTGCCATGAGTCATTTTGGAAGCAAATTCTCTCGGCCTCCAGGACCGCAATTATTAAAAAGTTCGTTTTGATGTTTTTAAGAATGGTCGACATTCATAACGCTTAAATTAAAATATTTTATCGAAGTACTTTGTACGCTCTTTTGTCTTATTTATAGGTATTATTATTATTTTGTTTGATTGTGTTGTTACTTTATTTAAATCTGATTCAGTGTGAGAGTAAACTGCGTTATTATATTTTAATTTTTATTAATGTATTTTTTTTATCTGTATATTTTACTTTATTTTTGATAGTAATAGACCGTTGGGTCTCAATAAATAAACATTAAATATCTTTAATGCACAAAAAAAACGTTTTAGTTGATTTATATTTTAAAAAAATCTAAAAAGTTATTTATTAGTTATTAGTTAAGCCAGCTCATAATTAGTTAATACAGCAAAAATAATTTAGCTAAGTTAATTTTTAAATTTAATAAACTTGTAAAACTATTAGTTCACTTATGTATACTGTATACGAAAAGGCAGAGATTGTTGGGATAAAAGATATCAATGTTCGATGATTTTTTATAATCTTTGAAATTACAAAAAATTAGTTTTGCTAAATATTTTTTTGTATTTTCTATAAATATTTCGTTGCAAATAAAAATTTTAAATTTATGTTGTTTTTTCAAAAAATTTAATTAATTGATAATTAATAAATATTAAAAAATTATGTAACAAAAAGAAAATTAAATTAACTGAAAATTATTAATTATTATATTTTAAAAAGTATTAAGCAATTAAAAAATATTTAAAAGTTTTGAAAAAATAAAACCTAAAACAACTTTGTAATGTTTTAAACTTTAAACTTAAATTAAAAATTAAAATCAAATTGAAATTTTTTGAAAAAAGCAAACTATTTTTATATTGTTTACAGATAAAAAAATATAACAATTTAATAATTAATAATAAAAACAAATTAATAATAATAAATTTATGAATAATAATATATAATAAAGAATAATGAATAATGAAAACATAATGAAAGAAATAATAATTATAAGTTAAAATGTTCTAATTATCTGTAGGTAATAATCATTATATTTAAAAAATGTATATATAATATAATAAATTTATAAATAATAATAAAAATTATATTATAATTGAAACTTTTTTTTCTATAAATACCAAGTAGAAAATATACTGGTGCTGCACACAATGAACAATATTTTTTTTTACTTTAAACTGTCACTTAGTATATGACTTAATTAATGACGATGAATATAAATATCCGTCGCATTAACCATAAAATATTACGAAATCAAAAATTGCCAAAATGTTAGAAAAACAAAAGGAACAAAATACGACTAACTTCAAGTGTGGACAGACAGAATGAACGAATGCGGAAATTATTATAGTTAATACCTTGAACTGCAGTTCGAAAATTCGCTAAGAACTGTAATAAAAATATTATTCTGATTAATAATAATAATTAATAATATTATTATTACTTATAACCTCTCTATCATAACATTGCCTTGTGCGATTTGACACATTCTCTTCTGCTATATTATGGCTCTATATATACTTGCGCAGTAAACCATTTTTGGTTACCGCACGAACTACCTATGCAGATTGAATCTTTCTGCATTGCCCTCACTTTCAACGACATCTCTACCACCTGAGTTACTCCTTCTGTCTCTAGTCTTCTTGGTCCGCAGTTATGGGAACAACTGTGTTGTTACCCATAAGGAGACTTTCAGCAGTGGAAAGTTAAGCCAAATGTCTGTCTTCGTTCACGGATAGTAATCGCCTTTGAAAATTGTACGCAAGCGCAGTGCGCACGTTCCATCTTCGTCGCTTTTTAAAGAACGATGAGAGAGATAATCTTTGTGTGACGAAGTCTGTTAAATGTCAAAAAATAGGGTTATGTTGTAGTGTTGTCAAAAGCAAGTGACATTAATAAAAGAAGTGGAAAATAATAATAAAAAGGACTTCGTAGTAATAAACTTAAGAAAGG